ACACAGCCAACCTGGAGAAAGACTATGGTTGCTTGTGAACAGAATTCCAGATGACCATGAGTGTAGGCACAGTACCCAGCTATCTATGAAAATGCTTGACGTTCAGAGCCTGCCGGATGGCTCAAGGACAAAGACACTTGGTCAGAAAGACTGGGACCTGAGACTGATGCTCAGAATCCAGGTAAAGGTGGGAGGATTCGAGCAACTCCAAAAGGTAGTCTCAGACCTTCGTATCATGCCACCACACACCACACTACAAAGCACACAAAATAAAATAGGATTGGGGGGGGGGGGCGATTTGCTTATAATTTTAACCTAGCAAATAATTAAAAGGAAAAAAATCAGCAACTATCAAAAGGATAAAGAAAGAATCTCAAGCAAGTTGAGGGGGAAAATAGCTCAGATTGAACAAAGGCGAGAAAGGCTGAAGATGCATCAGAGACACAATCATGGTAGACAAAAGACAGATTCTGGAGATCCAGGGAATGCAAATAAGAAAAATCCTCCCAGTAAAAGACAAACTCAAATCCCAGCCTTGTATGCCTGCAGGAGAAACGACGGAGCGGTACACAGAACGCTTCCGATAAGAGAGAACTGAAGTACTCGTATTTAATTTTCTGGACCCAGCCAGAGGGTAGTGCCCGCCTTTAATCCCAGCACTCAGGAGGTAGAGGGAGGTAGATCTCTGAGTTCGAGGCCAGCCTGGTCTACAGAGTGAGTTCCAGGACAGCCAGAGGTATACAGAGAAACTGTCTTGAAAAAACCAAGCCAAACCAAACCAAAGAAAAACCACAATTACAACAGGAAAAACAATTCTCTGGACCCATGTGGTGACAGGAAAAACTGACCCTACAAATTGTCCTCTGACCTTCATGTGTGTGTGTCTGTCACGACATGCTCAGCCTCAAACAAATTTAACAAAAATTGCAAATAAATTGTTTTTATTTTTACGTATATGGGTGGTTTGCTTGTACTATGTATGCCTGTGTTACCATGTGTATGTCTGATGCCCACGGAAGCCAGAAGAAGATATCAGTTCCTCTGGAACTAGAATTCCACACAGTTGTTAGCTGCCATGTGGGTGCCGGGAATCAAACTCCTGTCCTTTGGAAGAACAGCCAGTGGTCTTAGCCACTGAGCCATCTCTCAGCCCCATGGAAAAAGATTTTTTTTTTTAAGGAACAGAATCCAGAATGAGTATTGCCATAGTGATGTGTAGTAGACTGATACTGTATTATAATTATATCTAATTACAAAATTGCTGAGGCGTAGCACTCATACACATAAAGATAAATAAGTCACATATATATAATTGCATAAATTCATGAACCAAGTTTGTAGTTTATGGCTATTTTTTTGGTGAGGAGTGTTTGAGGAAAGCACATTAGAGTTCTCCCTCCCTTTTTAAAATTCTATTTTGTTTGATGTGTGTGTGTATAGGTGTGTGTGTGTGTCTGTATGTGTGCTGTGTGTGTGTGTCTGTATGTGTGCTGTGTGTGTGTGTGCTGTGTGTGTGTGCTGTGTGTGTGTTGTGCTGTGTGTGTGTTGTGCTGTGTGTGTATGTGCTATGTGTGTGTATGTATGCTCTGTGTGTGTGTGCTGTGTGTATGTGTGCTGTGTGTGTGTATGCTGTGTGTATGTGTGCTGTGTGTGTG